TTCTTGAACACAACCAGAAGTTGTCAAAAATTTGTGCGATCGGTTAACCAAAAGCGAGTTGGGAACCTGCAAGGTTCTTCTGAAATATGGAATGCCATCGAGTGAGGTGAGGCAGTTTGTGGAGGATTACTTCGGCAGGATCCTTACCACAAAGATATATACAACTATAGCGGGAAGTGTCGACCGGCTCTGTTGAGTAGGTGCCGCATAGTCGGGTTTTATTGTGGCAGATGATATGCCTTCTGTCCTAGCAAAACTTCGGGAGATCGGACGCGTGCTGGTGTGGCAGTCAGAGGAAGGTCACTATACCCACACATGCATCTTCCTATGACAGAGGATAGCGTTGTTCTGACGCATTCCAGGTGCAGTGAACGTAGACGGAACGTTGTCAGAAGCCACCTCGGGTGATTTTTTAAAGCATCAGATACCCGGCTTGTAGATATAAGCTGTAAACCTTCTTGATAACTGTTTGAATTATTCGAAGAAATCATGCGTGACAAATTTCCATTTAAGACATTTGTTATGGACAAGTTGGCGGCGCAAAGGGGTGCCACAAGAGTCGTGTTTGGCTGTGACGTGATGCCTTGCTATTTTAATACCCGAAGAGACATCAGGAAGGACGTATGTATCATTTAATACTTATGTATAGACAGATTCTGCGAGACACATTCTGCGAACAACTGGCACATATTCAACCGCATGGCTCACCTGAGCAACGCTGCACATTATGTTTTTTGTTTGTAGCATTACAAGCACGCCAATTCGGGGAAGACCTACATCTGCGCCGCACTGCCCGTCGGTTTGTTTTTCATCCTACGGTCCGTTGTTTTTACATCACGAAAAATTGGGCCATACACGCAGATTCCAGAATGGCTCACTTCGGTAGTGCGGACAGCCGTGTCAGCCGGAGGATGCGGATATGCTCACCGTGCTCCAAAATGGAAAGGTTAGGAAATAAACAAAAACGAATATGTTGGTCTACATGCGGGATCGAACAATTGAGGAAATTGACTTCTCCGGCTACTTGGTTGGATTAAAGGGGTCAGGAAGAAGTATAGACTCGGCACTCAAAGGGAGGTATCCTTGGTTCTCAATTAGTGTTATGGTGTAACACCATGATCGCTACGATAAGATGAAATCACAGTCCAGGGTGTTTAGGAACACATCGACGGTCTGATTGGTTTCAGTGGAGGAGGGTAACCATAGAAACGGTAGCCACAAGGAGTAAATAACTGGTCACTGGACCATAATCTTGGCAATCGACGCGGCGAATATCAGTAGAACTGAAAGAAGCTGAGCTGTCAGGTGTGATTAACAGCGTATGGCTAGCGACTATTTCCCGTAAGAATGAGGAAATTTTTCAGAACTCCCTCCCGCCGTGGCGTGCTTAGTCTAACTAACAAGTGTGGTATGGACTGAGAATGCCTAGGCTTGCACAGTAGCCCATAATTTCACCAGGCGAAAGTGTGCAGGACAACTTACAAGATGATATAATTCTTTTTGCTTGAAGCGCCCATTAGTCTAGCTGAAACGCGGTAAGCGTCTTTGTGATTACATAGCTCCTGTCAGGAATGTGTGGCCGTTTATGGGGCGCGTTGTTTTCATGATGTGATTAAGTTCCCGAAATGAAGGAAGTTCAAGAGATGAGGGTAGTTGATTCGCCTTTCGTGTGGGTATTTTTCCCTACCACGGTAAATAGAAGACCGACACCCGCAACTGGTGGACTGGAAAACGAACCACGGAAACATTTATGATTGAGCACCATACTTGTAGTAAAACGAAAACTCCTCGGCTGCCGACGACCGGTTTTGCTTTCTAGGGACTGGAATTTAATCATGTAAAAGACGGTCTTTTACCATTCACCTGAGGAATATTCTAAACCAGCTATTCAGCTATGACCCAGCTGAATCCTCGCCAATGCTGAAAATGCGTGCAGATACGTCTATTTTGTCGGTTTCCATTGACCAGAAAGTCTCCTGAATGTCAAAGAGTGAACAGTTGGGACTCAAGTCACCTGATTGAAGGGAAACCTGCAATGATCAACATGGTTCCAACCTTCTAAGAGCACTTTGGCGTCTGGATCCAAAAGTCACTTACATGGAATTATCTGTTCTTGATTGTGCAGTACAGTTGCTTGCAGCCCTGGTCGGTCATGGTGCCTCACAACATGAGACAATTTACAGGTTTTAATTATCAAATCACATTTAGAACATAGACGTCGCTCCATGAGATTCCATGCTGGTAGATGCATGCTGGTAGAGCAGTGAAAAGAAGGTGTACTGTGTGACACTGTCCAGACTAACGTGCGGCAGTAGATAATTTTTGCGGTAGGTGGATCCAAGGTTGACCCCTTGGGAAACCCTAGTCACGAAGTCCAGAAAATTGTAGCCAGTGGCTTACATAAGTTGGATAGGTTGAATGGCATTTAAATGCTAGGTGGTTGGGACAAGTATGGTGATAAATAGACAGGCCAACCACTAGACTTTCCCTGAGGAAACGAAAACTAAAACAAAACCGGCCAATGGGGGATATGTGGGCAAATGAAAAAAGGAGTTCAAACATTTTAGCACCGACATAAACGGGCCAAGCTCAATGGGGGTACTCGAATAGAAAATGCCTTCCTGTAGGTGGCTTTAAAGGCCTTTGTACTTGGTGAGTATCAGTGTTATGAAATTGAACTCGAGGTTCTGCGCGTTATACTGCCTGTAAAAATTACGCGCGGTTTTTAATAAACTGACTTCTGTATGGTATTCCCGCATTCTGCTCGCCTAAGTTCATGATTGGTTGGTTTTCCAGATCTCTTTTCGACGGATGTCTCAAAAGCTGATCAGTCCCAAGAACCTTTGAAGTGGGAAAACCTGTTCATTTCGCTTTTCAGTTGGAGAGATGATGAAAGCGATCCACAGATAGCTATTTATGATGCGGACCATCAAGGATTTTAATGCACACGAGATTTTTTTTGAACTTGATAATAGTTCTTTAGTTTACTATTTCCCTGATCCAAAAATAAGTGGGTTTTAATGAAGGGAGGGTGCCAGTTTCAGGTTTGCCTTCTGGGTTGTAGCATATATTGTCCTCACATCCTAAATACAGCACTTCCAGTCTTCAACCCAAAACTTGGTCATCACTGACACTTAAATTGTAATGTCAAATATTGTTTTCTTCTGCAATCTGATTTCGGACCTCCTGTTATGACGTGCTCCGATGCGGTTCCGATACACCATTTTTTATGTGGCGAGCGTGCTGATGGTCGTTTTGTTTAAAATTCTTGACCAATCAGGGGACAGCTTTTTCGTCACCCTACTACGGTGTACAGTGCCGCTTGCACTTCACCTGTCTCTGTCTGTTCGTTGCGTGGTATGGATTCGGGGCAACTGAAATTGCTTAAAGGGTTCGTTGACCTTTTGAAGAAGAAGCCCGAGATTCTTCATTTGCCGGAACTTGCGTTCTTCAGAGATTGGCTACACAGGTTTGCCCACACTTTTCCTATAATGTTTTTTTTCTAGCCTGGGCGCCACAATACCCCAACCAACGACCGGCGAGACATCTCATAGCCCACCCCCGAAAGCACACTCTCCCGAAGTTGACTCCGGAGCTGAAGAATCAACAGATGAATCTGAAATTGGTCAGTTAGTCCCATATTCGATGCCGTTTACACCGTGGATGATACCAGCGTAAGGTATAAGGATGTAAGGATATAGCACGGATCTTTAAGTTCTCAACTCTGGGCTGTAAGCTTGCCTGCGTGAGGACTCATATAAAAGAGCATAAAGGTGCTTTGAAATGGGTGCTAGATACAGGTTGAAAAACCATCCATTCTAGGCACCAACTGCACGTAGTGCAAAAATCGTTGCCTATTAAGTGCGCACTCTGGACTTGAAAATCTTACCATATGCCCGCCGTGTTCTGGTTGGACAACGGTGACAAACATGCAAACCAAACCTTTTTCAAACAGCATGTACTAGGGCTCGGAGGCGACGATATTCCTCTTAAGCGGAAAGGGTCAATCATCCTGAGACACGCTTCATAACAAGCGGATTTATGGCCAGTAGCCCGTTGGACACTCTCAGCGAAGGCCACATCCTTGTGTTGTGATTAGGCAACTTGGTGTGCCGAATCGTCCGTAGAACGGCGGATGCCTTTGGACCGATTTTTCTTGGTGCAATGAGCAGAGCAAGTTTGTAGAAAGCCAATTACTTAAACCCTTTTTGGTATCTATCGTCGTAATGTTTGCTGATCCAGGTCTTGAGACTCCCTTGGGTGGACAGATTCTGAGCAGTGGACCCGTTCTCGTCCCAGAATCATGCTGTGAGCTGCATTGAGGCATGTACTAAGCCGCCCGGATTTATCGATGCCGCAGTTTTGACCCCTCTGAAGTCAAGGGTATTGTTAAGATTCAGTCGCACTGCCTAGATACAGCAACGCATTTACAGCTATCAACAACTGGAACAGGCTGTCGAAAGTGGTAGTATCAGCTCCAATGGTGAGGGAGTTGGAGGGTTATCTGGACTGTGTTTGTAATAATGCTTTCTTCCGGATCGTTTACGATGGATCTGGCTTCTGGGCGGCAGCTTGTTGTTTCTGTCATCTTATCCGGTAGCTTTGTGCCAGGTCCTTTACCTGTGAATTACTTTTTTCCTTCACCATTTCACTTTTTTGGTAGTCCTAGTTGCAGGTTGCAGATTTTCAGCTATGGATTGTTTTGCCGTTTGCACAAGTTCACTGAAAGTTCAGTCGTCAGCCGCAAAGCTGCGGTTATCTAAGTATTTTGCTAATGCATTCTGTAACTGCTTTTTGCTACCCTGCAACCATACTGTAAAATACTAGAAGGAAGTTTATTTTCCTGCAATCACAGCTGCGTGTGATTTCTGGAGCTCACGGGGGCAAGAGACCTTATACTCCGTGTCATTTGCCTTATTTGTACTGTCCTATAAACTTGTTAACCCCATCGTGACTTTTACCTATGGTCACCGCTTGTGCTCTCCACTCGTCCGCTCCAGGTTGAAGCTACCCTTAAGTTGTTTCCTGTGTTCCGTATTTTAGAGTTTCCGGGTGAGGAAATTGTTGCTGCTGACAATGATCCGGAGCAAGAAATGGGCGATGACAGCCTTGAGGTGACGGACGAGATGATTGATGCCGCTAATGATAAGCGATCAGAGGCTCAGGCGAAATTCTGGAGCTCACGGGGGCAAGAGACCTTATACTCCGTGTCATTTGCCTTATTTGTACTGTCCTATAAACTTGTTAACCCCATCGTGACTTTTACCTATGGTCACCGCTTGTGCTCTCCACTCGTCCGCTCCAGGTTGAAGCTACCCTTAAGTTGTTTCCTGTGTTCCGTATTTTAGAGTTTCCGGGTGAGGAAATTGTTGCTGCTGACAATGATCCGGAGCAAGAAATGGGCGATGACAGCCTTGAGGTGACGGACGAGATGATTGATGCCGCTAATGATAAGCGATCAGAGGCTCAGGCGAAAATGTCGGTATGTATGATTCCGTTTTTTTTACGAATTTCTCGAATTTTCTTAGGAGATTTGGAGGCTGCCGTCGCTTTATTCACAGAGGCAATCAAACTCAACCCGACTTCTGCACTCTTGTACGCTCGCAGAGCAAGGTATGTGTAGACTGGTCTGTTTCAATATGAGCATCTAAGTTGTTTTATCAAGCTGAAGAAACCATGTGCAGCCCTAAAGGATTGTGAAAAGGCTCTGCACCTCAACCCTGATTCTGCTGCACCCTACAAGTGGCGGGGATTCGCACATAAGTTAGTTTCTCCGGTTTCTAAACATAAAACTTCAGGATGCTTGGTCATTGGGAGGAAGCTTTCAACGATTTTCAAACATCATTGAAGTTGGACTACTCTGAAGATGCATACGAAGCAATGAAGGATGTGGAACCAAAGGTGCGTTTCTTCGAATTACTTATCTCGCCTTTCCGATTGTGGACTCGGATAACACTCAATCTCACATTAATACAATTGGTCCTGTTAACGTACAACTCTGACACAATCAGCAATACTGTCATGCCACACCGTCCGTTGCGTGATGTCACCTGTCGGTTTGCCTTACTTGTTGCATACAGCAGGGCGGGTAAGCGAGACAGGCTCCTGCTCACGCCTCTTAAAATTTCACTTAAAATTTCACCCTACCTCGTCCCATTTTGAATACAATCCACAAATCCCAGCACTAGGACTGACAACTTTGTTCTCCATGCATCACGTTCAACTACAGCTTGTGTGTCTGACCTCAACAACAAACCAAAACACTTCGAAGTCTGTTTTCAAACTGCGGCAGCCTGTCTACTCAGCTGCCGTTAATGTCCGAAACCGAAGCAAGCATTGAGACGAGTGGCTCTTACTTGTTCTCTGGATTCTCTCTTCATTGATGTATGTTGTCTGTCAGAAGCAAAGTTTCAGGGCGCAATTTGCGTAATCGAACTGTCTGCTTCATCGTTCTCTTCCAAGTTCCGGCTGTGCACCTCTGATGTTGAAGAGGCTACTGTAGCTGGATGTGGTGGGGTGGGTATTTATTCAGCGACCGAACGGAAGCGTTTGTGCCTGCCTGGATACCCCTTGATAGTCGTCTCTGTGCAGTTCGTTTGGCAACAACTGTGAAAGAATCTATGGGAGGTGAGGTTCATCGCACCTTGTTTATTGTGTCTGCTTACTTCCCAGCTGACTGTAGCTGTGAATCTGCCAAGGACAGTTTCTATGACTCTCTAGATGTCCTACAGCAGACTAAAAGCTCAGACATCGTTGTGGTTGCTAGTGATATGAACGCCCACGTAGGTTGGCTGAGCGCTACTGAGGCCCGATTGGGTTGTCTTGGATTGGACACGCGACGCGCAGACAACGGGGATCGCTTACTTGAAGTGTGTGCCGATCACAGACAGTTTCTTTTGAAGTACGAATTTCCGGAACAGCGCTTTTCAGGTATACTCAAAACGCGCACACCTCGCTTAGCAATGACAAGTCAGCGGACCCAGAATTCAAACGAAATTACCAGAACCAGCACCTCGAACGCATACCGGATGGTACGCTGACGGTCATAAACGGCCCCTGGGAAACTATCCAAAGCGCTACTCAAAGCCGGAACGTCTGTTTGCGGTACAACCCAGCCAACCTCATCCAAAAATTGGATCTCTGATAGGACCATGTCTTTGCTGGAGACCCGGTGACAGATCCCTCTGGCCACAGTCACCACTGCACCCGACGCATAATCCGACGCCAGGTGAAACTGAGTATCCGAGAAGCTTGGTGAACCCGAAAGGCCGAATAAGTGAAAGGTGCAAATAATGCTGGAAATCTGCCCTATCCAACTATCTGGTCATGCAGCAGAGCTTGGGTGTTGGCGCGGGGTCCACCTAGATTTGGGTACCCATGAACCCCTCTTGCGCTTGGCTGGTGACGTTGCAAGAAATGGCGGCTAAACGATAATAGTGTTCGTGGTTTAAGTCTCCCTAGATTGTCTGATTGAGCGCTTGGAAGAGTAGGCACCTCAGACTGCTTGCGGTAGGTCAACATTCGGTCCCCTCCTTCACGCACTGTTTTCTATTGTTTCCATTTTGAGGCTTGAAATATAGCTGGACAAACTTTGTGATAGTACCGCAGTGAAGCATCAGTGTTAATGTCGATATCGCTGTCTGATGATTATAATAATGACAACCGTTAATATACAGTGCTTCCCAACTGGAAGGAGTCAGTAGTCTTGTCACTGGGTTTTTTCCGGATAAAACTGCGGAGTGTTCATTTAGAGGATACGGAGTTTGACGTGCGTTTAACGTTTAACGTGCGCTTCCATTACACTTCACATGTAGACGTAAGAAACGTTCGCCCGTCTATCTACCTTTGTAAACCTCACGTTAAGGCAACATGCAAGAGACTAGTCAATGCTTTACAAGTGGACTCGAAGGATATTGACCGCCACTGAGATCACAGTGGCTATATGTGATGCCGGAATCATCATCATGATGGAAACTCCTGTCTCAGGGAGGTCACTTACTCAGTGGTTAGAGCGCGAATTTATTGACTGGAAGGTCCGTGGTTCGAACCTGACCTCTGCACTTCGACTTTCCTTGTATAGGCTTGAGTAACTTGGCTGTGTTCCAGCCCTCGTGCTTCCTTCGGGGGGCGGGCGTGGAAGTTAGCCGAACGTTTTTATCATTCAGGTCTACAAAGAGACGACTCTCTAATTGGGGTGAGGAGGAGGAATGCGTGCATGAGAAAGTAGTCGCCGTCACTATCACACTTTAACTTGCCTTGAGGTGTATCCTAAGTAAGGCCACTCAGCTGACAGCGCTGTCTGACGGTTAATGTGGCTTGAGGTTATTCGTGATTGTAAAATTCATGGTTTTGCGTTGACCGGGATATTGCCAGTGGGATCATATTCAAGCAATAGGACGATTAAGGCCATTTGCTGAAGTCTGGCAGCTAAGTAACAATGGTCGGCCTAAGTCCACCGCAGTCCAGCTTTTAAGGAACAAATATCCCAACTCTTGATCTGTGGATTTTGGAGACTGCGTTGCTCAGAATTTTGCTCATCGACCAACTGGGGGACCGTTATAGCGTAGCATGCTACGGAGAGGCCCTAACCGTCGTAAACCACGATGCGGTCTAGTCTGTGGGTGATGGCGGATGACCGTCAAACATCAGTGGCATTCCATTTGAGATAACTATTCGGTCGCTGAAGTATGTGAACATGACTGCACTGTGCTCATGTCTATGATGCTCATATGGATGTAGGACGGTTTTTGGAGAGGTCGCTCGGATCGCTTCCATGCCGAAATTTCCGTTTCGTCATTGGGGTGAATAAAACATTAATCCATCAAAACTATCTCACCCCAGATAAAAATCAATATGACGTGGGTCCGAGACGCCATCCACCGTGAGACGAAATGTCATCAGAATCTATTGGTTTAGGCAAAGGAGCGACTATGACAACACTTAGGTGATAACGAGTTGTTTTTTCACTTTTCTGTCTTCGCTGATGGATGTACCTGAGTCTGACAGAAGTGTTTGGAACACAGAAGTTCTTTTCACCATTGCTGTTTATAGTGGTTACATGGATTCGCCAACTCGCTTGGAGGAACAAATATGATACTAAAAATATGTAGAAAAAGTTCATTGAGTTGTAGCAAATTGAGTGAGCCATTATGAACACAGTCATGTAAAATAAGGCGAAGCAACGATGTAATTTATAAAGAGGGGATGACTGTAATTAGAGGATGTGGGTTTTCTATAGAGGATGTGGGTTTCGTTGTGCGCCGGGTGCTTCAACCGTGAAATGCGGTGACTTGCCAGTTCACTATCTAAGAGGCACGTTCTCCACCTCTCATCGAATAGTAGCATCCTCGAGGTGGCATAGAGGAGATTTAAAAAGCTTTAGATTTAGAGAGATTTAAAAAGCTTGGGCGCAGTATATGTGATCCGCGCTTTAAAAATCCCTTTGGACTTGTCCGCGTTCACTGGATATTCTGCAAGAGATGATGGTAGACATTTTAGTCGCGTTTGCTCTACCAGTCTGTACTGGGATTTCCTGGTTCGCATATATATATAGGTAACTCAGAACAACTGCCTTACATTACGTTAGCACTGGGTCCCTTTTCAATCTTTCCACCGTAGAGCTTTGTAAAATAAACTTTCCATGGCTGCACAATGGGGGGCACCATTGTCAAGACTGAGGTTTCTATCACGGTGGTAACCATGGCTCCCACCTAAAGTTGTCACCTTGACGTGGTTGTCGGACTTAAGTGTTGTAATGATCCCGCGGGCTACATCGCTGGAACTTCGTTCCACAAGCTGCAACCATGCCATGAAGGCCAAAGTGGAGCAGTCAGACCAAGAGCAGCGTGACTCCGTCCTACGAGGAATCATGCTACGAAGCGGTCTGGGGTTAAAGTCGTACTGTCCTCTGCGACAGGGGTGTAGGCAGTAAGATGTTTCCCCCAGGGAACCAGCATGTCCATATTTATGGAAGCAACGATGCTGCCTTCCCCCGTGGAAGGATAGGTTGGAAAAGGTAGGTCCCCAAAACCTCACACTCCGATCGCCCAACGCTTGACCGTGACAGCCGGTGCACTATCCAATATGGTCGAAGTACTTTTAAAACCAAAGAGTCGGGTGCTGCTCAAAAGGCATCTGCTGTGCGCAGCCGCATCAGGAATGAGACAGTAATTCCTGCACCCTTGGGTTAGGCCAAACTCCTGAGCCGGGCAAGTCAAACTATCAAGTCGTCGGCTCCGGGTAGGCTCCCCAAAGAAAACCCTACTGCCCGCTGCATTGTGGGTCACACTTTGGATTCAAAGGCTCAAGGTGGGGTACCTCAACCAAGCCCCCTTCCCCGGCCTGGGCAACCGGGAAGTACTATTTGCCCAAGCGCAGTTCGGTGTCCACCAATGTTTCTCTTCAACCCCCCACCATCACACAAAGAAACGTCGCTGAACCATTTGACTGTCAGTTATCTGACCAAAGAGCCCTATGATCCTCGCTACCTACTAACAATAAGCAAAGTCACATTGTTTAAATCCATGAGATCCTTTCTATACAGGAGCTTTCAACGTCAAATTGGCAAACAGGCAATGCTTGCTGAAACCTTATACTCATTTAAAATGGATGTCTCCGAAACAAGAACCGAGCGTGGTTATACATCTCAGAACGCCAATGATGAACCCAGCTCTTTCACACTTCTCCCCCCCCTGTATCCGGTGACCCAGAAGCGATGACTCGTGGAATATATGGTGTGGGAGTTGAACTCAACCCCAGAGCTGGATCCCATGAAACAGTTGTCTTTGCGCCGTCCGGCTATCCAGTTCAATCAAGCTCAATACCTCGCGGCATAAAAAACAGTGCCTGTTTGTCGTGTCGGCTTATGCCACAACGGACTGCAGTTCTGAGGCGGAGAAGGATACTTTCTATTGAGAGCTTTCCGGGCTCATTCGTCAAGCAAAAAGCGCTGATATTGTGATACTTGCAGGCGCTTCGAATGCTCGATTACGTCGTCTTAGCCCCTTGGAATCACATTTGGGCGGTCGATTCGGAGTCGATGCTTGCGGCACAGCCAACGGAAATCGACTCCTTCAGTTGTATGCTGATCATGAACTGCTTCTGGCAAGTACGAAATTCCAACATAAACATTCGCATCGCGTAGCCTGGCGAAGTGCAAGTCAGTCGTGGACCCAATTAGACCACGTGGCCGTTAGCTACCGGTGGAGAGCCACAATTCAAGACTGCCGTTTCTTTTGGGGCACCACTTGGTTCCGATCACGCCATGGTGCATGCCTGGTAGTTCGTTTCCCTTCAGGTCCTCGCAAGTCAGCAAGCAGCATGGCCATTCACTGGCGTGGCAAAACTTGAAGGGAGCTATGTTAGTGACGTTCAGTGCTGTATGTCCGACTTATCCAATTCAACCACAAGACCACTGGATATCATCGAGATCGTTATGCATGATTGATGCCAGGAAAGCTATACCAGCAGGCAACGAGTTCGACGCCAAATAGTGAAGAGTCTAGGTAAAGACCGAGAGCTCTGGTGGATATCGAAAGCTCCGGAAATGAAGGTCTTTGATACGGGAAACAGTCGTACCCTATATCAACTGCTACGATCGACTAGTCCAAAGGAAGCAACGGCCAACAAAACGATAAGTGAAAAAGATGGCTCATTAATCCACTCGCAAAAGCGTCGACTGGAAAGATGGGCCGAACACTTCGAAGAACATTTCAGCTGGCCCCCTTCAATACAGCCTGTGGAGATAATGCATACGGGTGAATAGAGCGTAATCCTTGATCGTCCATCGGAAGAAGAAATCAGGTACAAAATATCCTTACTCAAACGTGAGAAGTCACCAGCACCGGAAAGTCTGTATCCGGCCCTCTTCAAAGAAGGTGGAATATCCCTGGTGACCTATCTGACAAAGCTTATTGGTGCTATATGGAACGGATGGAAGGTACCTGCAAAATGGGGCATGTCGATAGTCATCCCTGTACGCGGACGCTGTGTGAAAACCACCGTGTCATCAGCCTGTTAGCTTTGGCATCAAAGGTGCTCTATCGCTCTAGGTTGAGTGAACACAGGGAGAGACAGATTCGTCCTGCAAGAAGACGCATCGATCACAGGTTCACCCTCCGACAGATTCCAGAACAGCGACACTGCTCCCAGCAAGCAACAATGGTTGTTTTTCTTGATCTGAAAGCTGCCTTTGACTCTATGGACCACCAGGCACTATGACAGTGTCTGTGGAGCAAAGGTGTCCCCCATAAATTCTTGACCCTCATTAAGGCGCTGTACGCCAACTCCCGCGGCCGTGTAAAGGTCTACGGGAAACTCTCTCCTGAGTTCACCACATCCAGTGGTGTTCGACTGGACTGTCCTCTTTCACCTTTCCTATTCAAATTCGTCATTGATACGATCATGGAAGACTCACTAACGGCCTCTAATGCCTGTGGGGTCGAAGTGCTCCCTGGGCCTCCGCTCACAGACGTCGAGTACGCAGACGACATAGCTCTTCTTGGATCTGACCCAGTGGTAATACAAACAATATTAAATAATCTAAATAATTCTGCCTCCAGGTTCGGCACGCGCTTTACACCTGCAAAGTGTAAGTGAAGGGTGAAAGAGAGCAAGAGACGTTCAAACTTTGACTTGGCAGCGAACTATAAAACCCGTTACCAGCAAACTCAGCTGCGCTGGTCATTGCCGTCTTCCTGGATGGGGACCTCAAGACGGGCCACATCAATGGTTTGAGACATTGTCAGATATGGCCCAGTCGCGCCCTCAATGGCGCTTGTGCATCCAAGCTATTACCTTTAATATATAGCTCCCTTTTCATTTCACCACTTGACAGTCCACCGACAGTGCTGCATTTAAGCACTAATTTATCAGCTCCCACCTGCACTGCGCAGCTATCTACCCCACGTCCTCGAAGCATCGATGAACAAAACTGTGGCAACTATAACCAGTGTATGACAAGTACTTGTTCCTTACAGCTGATGATAATGATAACCATGGCATCTGTCCTTATATGTTCAGACTTTATGGTAGATGCGAGTGTTTTGAGTCTAAGTATCACGTGTCGATGGACTGACATTTTTACTAACTTTCGATCATTAACGTCGTCTCTGGTGTCAATGAAGTGGTCCAATTTAGGCGGGAAATGCTTGAGAGTGACGGTGACATCAGATTTTCATCTGAGTGATCGGAAGTGGGCTTTTGCTCAGTGGTTAGAGCGAGAATTTGCTGACCGGAAGGTACGTGGTTCCAACCCGACATCTACCTCTCGAATTCGTCTGTCTGGGCTTGGGCAACCTGGCATTCTCCCAGCCCTTGTACTTCCTTTGGGTGGCATGGCAGCTAGGCACCGAAATGATGTTACAGCTGAACGCTTATCTTGATTATTTTCACGCTTGCGGCAGGTGCCAGCCTGCTTAGTTCTACTGGTAGCACCTGTTCTAGGGATTGATAATGCTATACCGATATAAATACGCAAAATAGGACCCTAGAAGTGTGCCCTGTTTTTGAGGCTCCATGTTCCTCCTCTTCTCTTCCCCCCCGAGATCTGAGTGGTAGCATGTCAGTATAGATTTTCGATCATATAACCTGCAGAGTGAATAAATCTACTTTTTCACACCGGCCGCAGCAGCATTGGTTTATTGCTTTGTTCCACCGATCTGTGCATTTTTGCTGAATTAGCGTGAAACAGGATAACCCAACTGATTGGCTGTGTTTTGTCAGTAATTTGCTTGTGTTTTCTGTCTTGCTTATCATTTACCTTGTTCTTCTTGCGGATTTCAGCATAAGCGGATCTATGAGCACAACATGAAATACAAACGCAAGCGGGAGGAGAGACTAGACCGGGAACGCCGCGAGCGAATTCGCAAGGCGCAAGAAAGTCGCGAACGAGCGAAACAGGTACACCACAGTGCATATTTCCTTTGTATTTTCTACCAATCATTGATACTGCTTTCATATATTTGATCATAATTTACAGGATTCATTCTTTGATCCGGAATACCCTATTTGGTTTGTTTTGGAATTCCCGGTTGTGGTGATGTGATCACGTAAATGTAATCCTATCTGTGACGAACAGTTTCTTAATGTCCCCCACATAATCGCTTGCTGCACTCACACATGTCTAGAATCGAGGTTTCAATCTTCCAATCGATTGTCCTTCACAAGAATGAGAAAAAAACGATTCAATGCCTAGAAGCTTCAGGCTTTTATCAGTTCATTCAAATCCCCAAGACCTTTCTGAGATGAGTTACAACGACGCTAACCGCTACTATCATTGAAGGGATGTGGTGTAAGTCAATGGTTAACTGTATTCGAACGACGGCTAGGCCTTCATCGTTATCAGTGACATTGTTTGGTTTAGTTAATCGGATCCATTGTGAAAATCGAAAGATGACAGATCCGTGTTCGATCGGTTGGCACGTGCTGCCTGCTTTACGTATCCCGTTTTACCAAATGATTATTATCTCTAATTTTCGTGTCAACATGAATTTTGTACGGTTCGTTGCACCGAGATTGTTGCTGGCCGACTTAGGTGAATTGTTCCGCGCTGAACTACTTTATGTTGTCATGACAACCACATTCATCATGTCCTATCCGGTTTTCTGCTATTCTTCTGTTCGTCTTGCTGACCACTGCTCCTTTTTTGGTCGTTTATTTTTTCGTTCAAGGAATCCCCTTTTAATGGAGCGTCTCGTGGTGCAGACAACATGGGTGACACTTTCTCACAACTGTTCAATGATCCGGAGTTGATTGCAGCCATCCAGGTCAGTCAGTCAGCCAGCCGCTTTTTAGTTTTGATAAGATTCTTCCGCTCGTAGAAGAGTTGTTCTCAGCTAGCCATAGATGTGTGTGTTGGGTACGTCTCTTGTGTAATGCGACCCAACTTTCAGGGATTTGAACTCATTTGACAGTGATGAACCATCCACTCAATATTCCTAATGGTTTCTAAAACTAGCCTTCTGGTCTTTGTTCGTCATGAATAGAGACGGCTCCAGTGGTTAGAGCACGAATTTACTGACGGGAAAGTCCGTGGTTTCAGCCCCACCTCTGCCTCTCGACTTCCCATGCCTAGGCTTGGGCAACCTGGTAGTATCCCCTCCCTCGTGCTTCCTTTGGGTGGCATGGCAGCTAGGCACCGACTAAATGTTTACGACCTATTGTTTATTTTTTATTATTTGTGAATAAATTGGATGTGACGGTTCATAGACCTCCATAACCCATTGAGCCATACTGGGGAGTGTACATGTAACACGGGGCCTTATATCAGGCTGGTCAGTAGGTAGAGGTCAGACTAACACAGTCTCCTGGTACTTCATGTGGGGGTTTGGAAGATGTATGGTAAGTTGCTCCTGTCGTGGTTTCACACGGACTACCGCTGCCTTGTGATTAACCTTTCGAGCTAAAGACTCTGACTGAGGATTTTAATCGTCCCTTCGTCTTGGGCTAGTCGTCTTGGAGCTACACCAGCCCACTTACAACCATGGTGTACGCAATTACAAAAAACTGGTCTGTTTTTTTCCACTCCAGATAGGCTGTCGATATTGCTGAACGAGCGGTCTTTCAATATACGCTGAATTCGGTGGAGAGCGGCTCATCCTGCACCTGTCACCCGTGTCAGCTTACTCTCCTTGGCTCATATTCTCCATCTTCCGGAGAACCATTTACCACGCGGATTAGTTTCTGGTCGTTTGTTAGATGGGAGTTACACTTGAGTGATATCTAAACACTGACGCATCAGTGCCCCTTTCTTGCTAGCCCCGTGACGTCGGAAACCATCATCTTGCCTAATTTGTGACTTGGATGTGTACACCACTGACCCGACACTTCCAAGGGGTCGCTGGTACTTCCGATACTCCATAACTTAGCAAACAACTGTTTATTCTAACAGAAGAACAGGCCATCTTCAATGTAACAGTATTCACGTCTGCTACTTCCTCTCCTAATTTATGGCTGTTCTCTCTCCCTTTCCACTGTTGAGGCAGTAGGTATAAGAGATTGGTATCCAAATAAGTCTGTTAAGAATGCGGTTCCTCAATCGACGCGATCCATCAGACCTGTTGATTACCTTTCATCGGTCATGCTTTCGTTTCTTTTCCTTTTCTTTCTAGGATCCCGAAGTGATGAAAGCCTTTGGAGAAGTATCTTCCAATCCAGCTGCGATGCACAAATACAAGGACAATCCAAAAGTCAAAAGGGTTTTGGAGAAAATGCAAGACAAATTCGGCGGGCTTGGTGGCGGATTGGGAGGCGAGTTTTTTTATTGATAGCAGTTAGTTCTGCAGATTCGGTGAAGCTTTTGAGGTATTAGTTACGGGACACTTCCCAGATGCTTGTCTGTACACACGCATGGCCTGGGAGGTTGCGGAAGGAATTTGAGGACCGTTGAACAGACTTGATGTTTGTAGGACCCAGAAGTTGTTAGCTGATTGGTTCGGCAGATTTTGATAACTTTTCTCAGCATTCAGTGCTTGTCATAGCGTTTGCCAATAAAAATACTTGTTTGTGAATCTTAGGATACCTAACACTGTCGACTACTACGGTTTCCAGTTTCATTTTGTGCACAACAATTGTTTCCTTAAGTTTACCATGTCCGGTAAGGCGAAGCAGTTTTCTTGTCATCACGTTCAACAACTTGGTATACCTGACGTTCTTTTGACAGACGGACTACGATGCTTTTTTAGAATATCTTTTTAACTGACAGGTTCTGCTTTCTTCTGTGCCTTATTGACGTCCGGTTCGTTGTCATCTTGATCTTTGGGGGCGTTTGGTTGCCCGCAGGTCGGACAGCTGGCCCCCTTGTTAAAAATAGCGCGTCGTACTGCGCTCTACTGTGTTTGTGAAGCAGCATTTGGGGTACAGACAGGTAAAGTGCATTCTGGAAGTTGAACATATCACGCGGATTGCACATTTCGCCACAAACTTACCACATCGAAGTACCGTTTTCACTCAGCCTTTTATTGCAGGAACCATTTGAAGGTGTCGATGTCACATCAGCGACACGCGAATGTCTCCCTATAGCGTTAGCTGCCATCCACCTGGACGTGTCTCTGGACGGAGAGCATTTTGGTCTATAAGGGGGCTTAATTTGGTCAACAGCGACCTTCATCAGAGCTATATTAGAGGGCCATCGACCTTTTCACTCCGTTATCCGCAAGGGTCACATCCTAGATTGCTTTTCAATAAGCAGCTCAGATAGTTGACGTTTCCGTCCTTTCCTCGATACAGGCTTCTCCCAGGGTCCGTTTCCGTGGTCCACTTGGCTGTTTCATACCCAGCTTTTCAGGTTGTAGTGCTGCTGATGGCGTCACTGCCCCGGATGGCTTTCTTCCTAGATCAGCTTGTTTAAACTATCTTCGGACTTCACATGGCCCCCAAAGCATTATAAACTCAGTACTCACGTGATATATGTTTGGGTTGACATCAAGCTTCATTGAACCTGGATTAAGAAATTCAGACAATCCAATGACAGTTGATTGTATTCCCTGTTGAATTCGAAGATGACGCAGACACGGAATTCTGTTCGTTGTTCTGATCGTCTGGAGGAATGATTAATTGTTTCGCTGAAGTTTACTGACGTTACTAGGGAGCCTATCTTAATGTGGCTTGTGAGAACAAGGTCTGGAGGTAAGACGTTCCACGCACATCTATCGAACGTTCCAAGGTTGATGATGGTTAATGGCAGATGGTACCGCACTTGGTACTGATGTTCCGTGTGCCTACCCAATTAAAATATATTTTTGTCTCCGCTGATGAAATGACAGCTGTACAGCTCTTTCTAACATGTGGTTTAGTAGCCACCCATGCAAGGCGTCCGATTGCCGTTTACTGTGCTATTCACTTGAACATCTGACACAAAGGGCTGATATAACCAGCCCTTCCATGAAAAGATGATGCTCCGTTTCATTCTGTAGTACGGTTCTTAAGGTCCATATAAGCATTTCAAGCCTGTGCCTACAATCTGTTCCGTTGCGATCGAGATAGCTTAGTGGCTAAGCCACGAACGTACTGACAAGGTTCGTGATGTGACAATATCTCAGCCCTTGTTTTTTTTTCGGGTAGTATGGTAGCTAGGCACCTAAAGGGTGTTACAACTGAACGATTATTATGAAAATTGTTTATTATTAACAATTCCGTTGTATTGCTTGAGTTAGCTGTTCTTGATTCTAGCTGATTGACCCTCCTTTCCACTGTTTAGGCGGAATGCCCTTCGGGACGGGAGCGGACTTCACAATGCCCGACCAGTCTACTCCAGGTAAGCTATACACTTTCTTTGGGCACTCACCTATTATTTTTTTCAGATCTCGACTAGTGCGCCTTAGCATTGTCCTCGCCAACGCCGCCTGTGTGTCTGCCTACTCTCCAGTTTCAAGCTCTGCCATCGGCTTTGTATTTTTTCTTCACAGTTGATTGTGTTCACAAGTACCACACCAAAACCGTTGATTCACCGCCGTCTTGTTAGTTTTATTTACTCGGGTTCTGTATTGACAATATCCCGGTACCAGTCTATACCATACAGTTTAACATTTTTGAATAAATATAAGTTGTTTCGAGCGTTTTCTCAATGTTCACTCGAAAAGATATTACGGACTAATACAGACATTTGGTTAGTGTCCAATGACTATCTACCCACACAGTCAGTTTTTGGAGCTGTCGTAGATGAACAGTTATTGGATAAATATCTCCTCCAACCAAATGAAGTCCAGTTCAGGGCTACCGCTTCTATCCAAGTCATGGAACTGCTCTTGGGATAACTCAGGGACGCATGCTGGTCAGTCATTCGCCACGTAAAATTTTCATTTATGGTAGGTAGACTTAAAACAGACTTGGAAAGTCGATTAAATGTCAAATCCAATGCAGAGAGTCACACTGTCTCAGCAACCTCTGCGTATGTAATGTTGCTTCCGGAGCATAACAGCTCGGGTGAGTTTATTGGTCCTTGATTCGTTGGGCAGGCGTCCACTTGTTCATCAGACTTATTGCTAGCTAGTTTACGGCGTTTCCGACGTTATAAGGTTACTTTGAACACAGCTAGAATCAACCGAGTAATCTGTGGCTACCAGGTGCTTAGCTATCGATGAAGCCGGTTGGCCGTCGCTCCGCAGCTGCACATGTTAGTTTCGTGCCATGATGCCGATCATATACGTCGGTATGTTCGACCACTCACTGTGATAAGCCTGATTCCCCTAACATATTTACGTGTTTCAGTACCTTCAATTGAAACAGTAGAGCAATCGGCTGAGTGGCTGAGTGGAAGCACTCGTCTAGACCTGAGAAACTAGTTTGCTTCTGGTTGTGGCTGGTGTTAGTTTTCCTTTACTATGGTTGAAAAGCTAAGGCGGTTGTAAGTTGACACTTATATATGAACCGGACTAGTTTTTGCGAAGAAACTACTCAAGATGGCTGAAAACTCTTCAGCAGCCCCAAACTGGTTTCGTCCTTCTTGGTACTCATCAAATAAGCACAGGCCGTAGCTTTCGTCAACCTTATGTTCTGCTTCAATCGAAATTACACGGAACCCGCGAAGTAGACCCATTTCGCACGCCAGTTTGGTTTTTACGGGAGTCAGCTGAATCTCTGGGTTGTGGCATTCAACTGAATGTGCTTCACAAAGAACGCATTTTTTCAGTTAGTACGATATTAGAGATATCGCAGTATATTATCTTGGTCGAACACTGCTCGTAGGGTCGCTGAAGACTCTTCGACAGCCAACGGGTATAAGGTTTACGGAAACTAGGAGACTGAGCGAATCTGTCAAACCCCAAGAATGGCGAAACCGATGTCGAACAGTTTTCTGCAACCTTACGAATGGTATGTTTCGTCAAGAAAGCACAGTGATATCTCGAATACCACCTGCCGAAAGATGAGGCGGACTTTGCGCAGAACATTTAGCTGAAGAAGAGTTCCAGCTTTAATTCAATCGAGTCTTCCGTCGAAACCAAATCGGTTTGCAAACGAACCACTCTTGCAACGTGCCCTTCAGAAATCTTTCTTTAGATAGTGTTAGACGTACGGATTCGGTAAGTCGTGTGATTTATAGTCCCACCCCAGTAGGGCCATCATTTGGTGACATCTCAGAAAGGCTGAGATGTAGATTACTGTACTGATCAGTAAGTAGATGGTAAGTGATCAGAAGTGGACGTCAAAATAACATTTATGAAAAACTTGAACGTCAAGTTTTATCGTGCAACTATCTTTCTATCATTGCAATAAAGATGTTAGCCGGTGTGGGGCCCAATTACTGCCCATGGTAACGCCATCGATTTGTTTGTGCGTAGAGCCTTGGAAGTCAGGCCAAGTGTTTCTAGTGCACAAAGCGGCGAATAATGCCGAAGCATAGCTGTCGGAGTGCAGTATAATTTTATGACTGGTAATAAACTCAGGAGATCAGCCGTCTAATGAAGCAGTAGCTTGGTAAATAGTATCATCATCAGTTGAGAACGTTCTTAGCGGGTTCACTGAACTTGTTTTCGGCGGTATGGCAGGTCACAGTATCCAAACGGTTGATGAGAAGTTAGGCCTCTTTGGGTTGATAGGACCAGGCCAACCGGCGGTTGTAGAGAAAGTTGGTCATTTTCGAATTCGGTCTCCAGGCTACTTCACTTTAAGACTCATCTTCGGTGAGTCTTCCTTGTTGACTGTTTGTTTCGTCTTCGTTCTGTACTTTAGTAGTACATCCACGCAGTGGCAGTAAGTAGAGGTTTCCAGTGGTCATCAGGACACCCTGTCTGACTCGTATGTTTGCGGGAACACTACTCCCGTGTTATGTATATGTTTAATGGCTTGAGGTGGTAGTCGGTGGTCAAACGACATTGTCGATGTACATCAGCAGACAGTTTGGTTCGTGAAGTCAACCAGTTTCTTGCAAAACCGGCAAACATTTTATTAGTCAGTATGTGGCAGCTTTTTTAATCAACCGTGCAGCCAGATGTTTGCTCAGGGTAGTGGAAGTGCAACACATAGCAGGCTGCTGTGGAGACGACCCCACAGTCGCGGGTTTCTTCTTTCTGGTCTTCTGACGAAGCCTTCGTGCTTTATGAAGTGTAGCAGCATCACCTAAATAAGGGCAGATTCAAACCGACGTCGAGCCTCGCTGGGAATTTCAGCATGTGGTTTTGTCAGTTTGGTGTAGTTTCTACTGTTCTTTATTGATTTCTGCTCCGATAGTAGTTTGTTGAGTCAAATTGGGTTACGATCTCCACAAGTGAACTCTTGAAGCCCGACACACTCACTTTCAACGATCGTCTTAAAGCGCAACGACAGCGATAGGTCTGGCACTCGACAGGTTGAGGCTGAGGGTGTTCTTCTTAGAAACCTGAGTTCTGTTGATTCATTCCGGATATGCATATTAGTTAGAAACAGGCACGGTAGCAAGGTCAGAACGGCGCAGCTATAAAGTCCATCATGATCAACTGAAAACGCGTATGAACTGGACAATTCAAACATCTTTACGGCTTTGCCCCGGTAGCCTGTAACTGAGGATTAGTGAGCACCATGTTCTGTCACGCAATGGATATGCGTACGGCGGGTGTGTTACCCAAAGAAGTGAGTTTCCTGAAGACAGCTCCAAACAAAGTTCAATCAGGGAGCGGTCTCCATTCCCAATGAATTCCAAGGTGGAAGAAGTATTCTTTTGGGTCCTCACTTTTAGGCACCAAATGGGCACATGATCAGATACAATGCGATGAGTTGGGTTTCCGAATAGGATATTATCAGCGGGTCAGTGCAGGTTAATGTTACACAATTGATGTGCACAGTGCTTTGATTGACGATGCAGTATCGCGTTGTTGACTTTATGCTATTTGTGATTTTGAACCAGACGAACAAAACTTGGTGATCACGGTAGCTAAAACTAGCGGGGAAAATCCACCTACTGGGGGACCCTACCTGTTCGTCATAATTTATAAGTTTTTGGAAATTAAAAGCATTCTTGTTAACATTCGCCATCATTTTAAAATCTCTGATCGTTTACCAGGAATGCATCTGAAAGCTAAGCCGAGACCAAATAATATTATCGTACCTTGCCAAAAGAAGCGAAATTCTTTCAATAATCAACTCGGATTATGCGGGCAAACTGAGTGTTCTGCCGTTGGACGAAACCAATTTCACCATCACGACGACAGTGAAAACGCAATTAATGAAGTGTCTCAAAGGGCTAGAGAGGCTTCAGAATACCAAGACTGGCACTCACCTCACGTTTAACTGATTTCCACATGCCGATACGGAAACAAGTATTCACGTTTAGTTTGGACGATACTTCTGAGTTTGTGGACACAGCATGGCTTTAAGCTGAACACCTACATGTAGCATTGACTTCGTTTGTCGTCATGTACATCGAATTATCCTAGTTATTAGTTTTTCACTGTCCGTTCTAAAGAAAGTGCCGGTGAGATGTATGGTGAATGAACATGGTCGGTTCAATAACACTGTATCGATGGAAAGAAAGAATAGCAACCGGTTCGTCACGCAATTCCTTCTTGACAAGTACTTTTATGAGTAAACTCGGATAGTCGGCACTAAAAGTCAGTGTCAACCAGGTGCGCCTGCATCGATATTGTCTTGGTGATGTATCTGTTGTTTTGGGTGACGCATCAGAAACACTGGGAATTTTCAGCTGGACTCATTCCGCCATTAGCCTCAGCTGCGAAGCCGAAATTGATGAGTCATTTCGTTTTCTAGATATCGAGCTGCACAGAAATCCTGGTGGTGGAGTCTGAGAATTTTAAGGTTTCCTTCGGCGCTAAAGCCCAGTCCGAGGAGCCGACTGCCAGTCCTTGACTCACTTCTGATCACCAATTCATTCACTAGCGATGCTGATGTGATTTATGGTGGTCGCCAAATTCGACTACTATTTCAGTGGATTAAGAATTAAGAAGCACTGCCGAATTCCTCAACTCACAAAGAATATCGCTCGTAGCGCGACCGGTCAGTTGAACAATTCAAGCACGTCGTCCCAAATAGTGCACCGTTTCCCCGCGTTCAATCAGAAAACGTGTGACAGTCTATACCTGTCACAAACGGGACTGTCGCTATCAAACTCCATCGAACTACACGTTGTTTACCAAATAGAAACATGATCGAACACTTGGATTTCATTGGCCTAGACAGCCGCCCTTCTCCCAACAGTCTGATCAAAACCAAGGTTTGAATCCTTCTGGATTCTTACTCATACTTCTACCAGAGTTAAAACAGGCGAATACGGTCCAGACTCTCCAACGTCCAATAGAATTCCGACTTGACACTTTAATTCGTGTCGTATTTTATACTCGTATTAACCCTCTGTGACATCGTTGATAGCATTCGTACAGCTGTAGCACGTATATAGTGAGATGTCTCTCAATGGCCACAATATAATTCAGAAGGTGCAGGGGGCACTAATAACAGTTTTATTATGGTTGACAGTAATTTACGTTTACTAATCGCACCATTTATAGAATAAATAGAATGCGAAAAGTGGAATAAGTCAAAAGGTGATTTATCGTTTGAGGACAATTCATGATTGTTCCTGGTTCCGGACGGGGGAACGTGTTCTCTCTGCGGGTGGCTGCTACACGAGTT